TTCAATGTTTAAAGTATTCCTGGAGCTTCTGGCTAAAGCTATAAGAGAAGAAAAAAGAGACAGAGAAGCATAAGGATTAGACGAGGTACACTGACATTATTTGCAGCTAATATGACCATATACCTATAAAACCAACAGAATTCACAAAGAATTAGAACTAATTTTATTATAACTAATAAAGAATTCCATCAAGGGTGCTAGAGAGGTCAACTTACAAAAATCAATAACATTTTACACAGTCAGCCCTCTGTATCTGTAGGTTTCACACTGGCGGATTCAACCAACCATAAATCAAAATTTTGTGGATACGGAGGAATTAATTTGAATCCGCGGATGTGAAACCCACAGCTAGGGAGGGCTGACTGTATTCATTGTATTATGCCATGTTATACAAGGGACTCAAGCATCTGCGGATTTTGGTATCTGCTGGGGGTCCTGGAACCAATCCCCCGTGAATACCGAGGGGCGACTGTATCAGCAAAAACTAATGGCAATAACTAATGATTGAAAAAACAAAAAAAACTGTACATGGGAATAACAAAAAAAATGTATATAGGAAAATACAAAAAAAGGAATCAACAATCAAGAATACATAAGAAGATTAACAAGGAGAAAACTTTAAAACTAAGAAAAGCCATAGAAGAGGATCTGAATAAAGCAACAGACATGGAGCTCACTTGGTTTTGGCCCAGTGAGCCCCATGTCAGACTTCTGACCTCCAAAACTGTAATATTATAAACTTGTGCTGTTTTAAACCACTAGGTTTTGGCAATTTGTTACAGCAGAAACAGGAAACTAAGATAGGACCCGTTTCTCCTGTCCAGCTGGATGCCAAGAATAGAGCTTCGTAATTGTATTTTTGATACACAAGCAGAGTTTGCTTGCATATATTTTTAACTCTTGGAAGGAAGTGTGGCATATCCGATCTACGGAATAATCCTAATTCCACTTGCCTATGTGTGGAATATGATTCCGTGGGGCTCTTTGCAGCAGATTTATTTCCCTTCCTTTAATCAACTCAGTTTGTTTTCAGACCCTAAGAACATGTGGATGGGCAGTGAGGGGGTGTCGGGTGATAAGGAACTAATAAAAAATGACTTAAGATTTACATATCATGATACAAAATCCCTGATGGGACTTGGCTGTGAGCCTGGCCCTCCAGTCCCTGAGCAAAGCGTACCAGGAAGCAGTGGCATAGCTCCTGCTGATGGCTGATTCCACCAGAACTTTCGTTTCATCCCTGATTTCATTAGATATTTTAGAAAATTACAAAATCGCTTTGCAAACTTAATGTCTTTCTCTCTGTGTGTCTTTTAGGTGAAATGATAACTGATCTGGGTTGACATCAGTAAGATGGGGGAATGGGAGGTGCCAGTTTTCATATGCCCACAGATACATCTGTTTTAACAACCACTCAGAGATGAGAATACCTTATGGGAGTCTGGAAGTATAACTGAGAGGTTCCAGCACCCAGGTGGGGGCAAAGTCATCCAAGACTAGATGCATTGAAGAAGGTTTCACTTTACCTGTGTCACCCCTTTCCCAAGGTGGCACAGCATTGGCGGCATCTCTGGGAGCTTGTTAAAAAGCAGAATCTCAGGCCTCACCCTAGACCTGCTAAATCAGAGCCTGTAGTTTCACAAGGTCCCCAGGTAATTTGTATGCACATTATGAGAAGCACTGCATTATCATATATACAGGAATCCATAAATAATATATTGCATTGTTCTGTGTGTTATTTAAAATTTATATAAATGGTATCATTATATAAATGGTCAGCTTGTTCCTGGAGAGAAACTCACAGAACAAAGTTTTTAATTTATCAAGCTATTGGGGAGTACATGTGTAAGCGGAAGCCATAAATCAGGAGAGCATGTGAATTTTTTAGAGTATGAGTAGAGTAGTGAGTAGTCACGCAGAGGAGGGGCTGGGGTCATTTAGTGTAACAAGATGGCCTCACTTATGCTCACTTACACTAGGAGAGTGAAATTAATTCTATTTTCATTAAACCATACTGGATCATGGTTGGGTCTCTTTTTTTTATAGCAGCCTAGCTAGATAAACTAATGAAATGTCCCACACTGAGATATTTAACCTTTCCCACTAAGGTGGTTCTTCCAGATGACTGCAGTAAATGGCAATTCCATCCTTCCAATTGCTCAAGCCAAAATCCTTAGAGGTGTCCTGTGTCCTAGCCCCTACAGAATGCATAGCATTAAACCAGGCCCTGCATTTGTGGTTTAGCTTGGTGCTTCCTGGAATTCCAGGCAGTACATGCACGGAGTGGGCCTCGGTTCTAGTCCTAAAAATGTTAATACTCTTCAACCAAAGACCACCAGGAACCTGTAGTTGAACAAGCTGGGTGTATTATTGCAGCTAGGAAGTATGCTCACCATCGGGAACCATGCGTATCTCAGTAAGAGAGCTTAGGAAGATCCTGCTACAGGATTTGGGGAGAATCTAAGGAAGCTCTAGAGTGGGTGCTACCAGAAAGCAGGGGCAGGGGCCGGCCAGGTGGTGTAGTGGTTAAGTTCCCGCACTCGGCTTCGGAGGCCTAGGGTTCGCAAGTTCGGATCCCAGGAGTGGACATACGCACCGCTCATCAAGCCATGCTGTAGTGGCGTCCCATATACAAAATAGAGAAAGATGGGCACAGATGTTAGCTCAGGGCTGATCTTTCTCACCAAAAAAAAAAAAAAAAAAAAAAAGCAGAGGCAAGTCTACGATTGGATATCTCAATAAGTCTCTATAGGGAGAGGAGATAAGCGTGAGGATAAAGCTGTAATTGGTAAACAAGTAGCAGTCACTCATTTTAGCAGGGAGAGGGGCATGTTTGTAGACTGCACAATGACCTTGTTTTTATGATCTTGGAGTGACCTTGTGTGATGCTGATGTTTGATGAGATTGTTTACCTCCAACAGAACAACTCGGCCTAGTTGTGAATATCAGGCCAGCTTGTGATAACATTGAAGCTGTGGGGGATCAGAATTGGCCACCCCAAAATGTGTCTCTTTGGTTAAGGACAAGCGACTCTGAAAGAAACTTTGACCTTCCCCCCAACTGCCTAAAAGAATTTAAGATAAAAGTCCTGTCCTCAGGACAGGCCATCGCCATAGATAACTCTGGATATTGGTCCACTGCGAGGGTCCTTGCTAACCCCGTTCTTATCAAAGTTCTGTCTACCAAACATTTGCTTTTCCATCTCCATGTGAATTGCCTTCCTCCCCTTTGAAGTCCCAAACCACTACCCTCAACATCCTCCTTTGTCTTTAGCTGAAGATCGCATTTAAGGTGGCGGCTTTGGCCATTCTGGCTGAGTTACTCAGCTCTCCTGGGTTTCTCCCATGTATACATGTTATAAGCTCTTGTTTTTCTGTCTCATGCCAGTTTAATCCTTAGACCTACCAGAAGGATCTAGAGGGTAGAGGAATTGTCTTCCTCCCCTACAAAGCCTTGCTACGGGAGTCAGGTCAGTTCCAGGATAGCAGGTGCTGATTTTTCACTTTCTTAAATGGGTGGTGGTGCCTTCTTTGCAGGCCACAGGCAGTCAGCTTCTTTCTGTGAGCCCAAGTGAGGGAAAGGAGCTGTCTTCAAATTCATTCGTACTCAGCCCCCTCTCAGAGGTATGCATCTTCTGCCTGCGTCCTCACCTGGCTGTTGTGACACTTGCCCCCAACGCTGCACGCTTGACCCAGATCTGTACTTGGAACCCAGCGGACAGTGCTGCTCTAGCCTGCTTACCCACATCATTCTCATCTGTCTTCTTTCTTTCTTTTCTTGTGAAAAGAACTGCTCTGTCGCTGATCTACAGACATCTTCACTCCTTGCTTTTGAGTGTTCTTAACATTTCATGCCTCCTTTGCGTAGAATATCTGGCATTGGAGGGTAGGTTTCAGAGTGAGCTGAAGCTGCCATCTTGACCTGGGAGCAGCCGAGGGTCTTTTGGTGCCTCCCTCTGGGCTGTAGTTCCTGACCTGTGGCACTATCCAGCCTTCCCCATCACCAACGTGGCCCTCCTTGCATTGATCGCTATTGTGGTGAATGTTCTAAGCTATCTCAGGGATACGCTAGGCCATGCCCTTCTGGGTATCAGCTGTTCTGTCCCGTAAATGCTGTTGTTTAAAAATGAGAGATCCCAGCATGACTCGCTGACTTTCTACATAGCTTTTTGCCATATTTCAGCAAACCAGACCAAGTGCTTAAGTCAGGAGCAATGAGCCTGAACCTAACTTATTCTTCTGATTTGGAGGCAGAGTAAGAATGGGGAGCATGAGAGGCCTACGCAGCCTTCTCTCGTTACCCTTATGTCCATAATGACTGAGTCATTCTTTTTGCATGACAACCCCCGCCCACGTCTTGCTCTGCCCTAACACCCATGTGTAACTTTAACATTATTTTTATCAGCTGCTGTTGGGGAAGGATTATAAGTAGAGGAGGATCTTTCATTTCCCTGTCTCCAAAGCCTGTAAGCTCCCCAAAGAAGAGGTTAATAATGTTTAGCCTTCTTGATGCCTCCTGACTGTATCAAGTACAGATTGCTGAAGATAGGTATTGCTCACATTTCATGGCATCTCACTTAATATGTTCACAGTAGATAACAGCAGTGGTTGAAGGAGGTGCTCCAAGAGTGTGAAGGGACACTGACCATCTCATAGGATGGATAATATAGAGAAACTGGGATGCGGAGGCATGTTCTGAAACATGTTGAGGTGGTGTCAGCCTCAGCAGCATCGATCTCTCAGTACACCACTGAAAAAGAGAATTCTAGGATGGGGCAAATTATGGGGCAAGTCTTATAGTGTGTCTTAGCACATCGCTAAGAAATAGACAAATCAAAGGGCAAGCAGCCCTCACAGGGACAGAGAATTACTGCAGAGGAGGGAGAATCCTGAAACTCAGGGAAGATTCTGAGAAGCTAGATGAGGATTATGGGTCCAGGGCCAAGGAAGTTCCCTCATTTGCTTGCTGTCAGCCCCACACATACACGAAGACAAATCACGTGACTGCATAATCATTTATTGACTAGGTAGAGGAAGGTCTAGGCATGGGAGAGTTCTCCTGGGCATGGCAAAGAGAGTAGGGAATTCTGGTAAAACCTTTGATTCTCAGTGAGTTGATGAGTCTTCCTAGACAATTAGGGAAGATCTTGAAGATGCAGAGATAATGCCTTCATGTGCGCTAGTGATGGAAATCAGGTCACAGGACTTGTCACAAGATGCCATGGGGACCACGGAGGGAAGTTCCTGGAGCCCAGCTGAGGAAGTGTTCACTCTCACTCAGCACTAAATAAGCAGATGAGAAAGAAAACACAGAATTTTATCAAGCACTTCTTGGATTGAATTGAAGACAAAGAGAACTTACTATTACAGAGAAAAATGGTGAAGAAATAGATATCAACCTGCATTCTAATCAATGTTATTTGCCAGAGTAGTGGGAGGGAGGACATTGAGTAAATGACACTTTTTTCTATTGCTGATCCCATCTTAACCTTCCCTCAACTGAGTCTATGAAAAAAAGAATGGAAGCAATGAAGAATCCTAGGCTCGTTTCTGCCATTTTCAGCCTTAGAAGTTTTGAAGAGTTTTTGATAAATTGAAAAATAATGTCCAAAGCCATAGACACCTTTGATTAAGTGCTGACTTTGTGCATGCTATAGTTGCTAAGACTTTCACAAACGTTATCTGAATGAAGCCCCACAATAAATCTGGGGCGGGAAACAGATGAGGAAACTCAGATTCTATTTTCCGGGTTAGAAGAAAACTGGAAGGTCAGACAGCTCTATTCCCAGATTGGAAGTTAAGGATGTGCGGAGATCAAAGGAAGACATTTTTACCATAAATTGGAGGGTGAGGTGGCCTTCTAGGCTCGGAAGACGGGCCACAAACACAGAATGTATCTGAGTGTCATACTCACACCCTGTTACTCTTTTCCCGTTTCTTTCTTTCTTTCTTTCTTTTTTTTCTGCTGAGGAAGATTCGCCCTGAGCTAACATCTGTTGCTAATCTTCCTCTTTTTTTCCTTGAGGAAAATTCGCCCTGAGTTAACTTTTGTGCCCATCTTCCTCTATTTTGTATATGGGTCGCTGATGAGTAGTGTACGTCCATGCCTGGGATCTGAACCTGCAAACCTGGGCTGCCGAAGCAGAGTGTGCTGTACTTAACTGCTATGCCATGGGGCCAGCCCCTCCCATTTCAAACTTTAAGTCTTAATGATTTTTAGCACATTATCAATTACTGAGCCCTTTTCACCAGCATTATTATCCACACAGTAAACCTGTAAGGTAGACATCATTGTTTCCCTTTTAATTGCTTAAATCATTTGCTCAAAAGCTCACAGTAGGAGTGGGTCCTGAACCCAGGTCCTCCAACTCCAAATTTCAAGCTCTCTCCACAAGCTTCCTTAACAAGTTATTTTTATTGTAATCTTTAGACGTAAACCCCTCAGTGCTTTTGGAAGGCCCTGACCCCTGGGCCTCCCCCTCTCTGCCAGAGATGACCGACCTGGGGGCCTCGTCCTCTCCGTTCTCTCGGTCCTGGAGACAGCGATCTGTAAAGGCAGAGCAGAGCATTCAAACCCCAACTGCAGTTTATTTCCCAGAGAGACACTAAATGATTTTCCAGGTTAGGACAGTGGGGACTGATTGGAGGTATTACCTTCTCTTGGAGTTCTCCGTTTAGTAACATGGGAATTTAGGAAGAGAAAACCAGAGATAGCCGAACTTACCGGCTTTGGTCAGGTCAATTATGTTTTCTGTAACAATTCCATGTTTTTGGGAAATTCCCTTCAACTTCTCCTTGACTTCTGGACTCGCATCTGGTTTTCGGGCTGTGGGAAGAGTGACAGTAACTGGCGTGTCCTGTATATTTGTCATTGAGGCTCATGAGGGGCGTGGGGCTCCAGGTGGATGGGAAGATGGATGGCACTGATAGGGTGCTCAGGCAGAAGTCTTGGGGACGGGTTATAACCTGTCTTGAATTTGACATCTTTAGAATATCCTTCTGGCGTGATGAGAGATTTCATCATCTTCCCATCACCGAGCCTGAGGGATTACCAAAGGTGAGCATCTGTCTTTAGAGGAGGAGAGACATCCCAAGAAAAGGTGGGGAGGATCACTTTGTCTCCAGGCTTCCTTCCTTCCGCTCTCTCCCCACCCCAAGATGAGCGTCAGCGTGAAAATACTCTACCATAGAGCTCCAACAGTTGGAATGGTTCGTCATTGTTGAAATTCACGAGATAAATAATAATAGAGTCAGTATTGACCACTTTTCTTATGTGAAATACATTGTATCCATCATCTGTGGAGGAAACAGAACACAGCTGAGAACTTCTCTAGTCCGTGGGAAGCAAGTAAAACCCTTTACCTATTCTCTCGCACAAACCAAATTCAAGGGCATATCCTGGAAGACATAGAGAGTGATATCTAATGCCTTCCATTTGCATCTCTCTGGGCTTCATGAGGTGACTTCTAAGGGATACTGGTAGATTGACTACTATGGTAGAAAAATTCAGCTGCAGTGGTAACTCACCCTCTATCATGCTCCCTGAGACTCACTTACCTCCCTTGGCCGCCTCTGCCAACTATGTCCTCTGTATAAGCCCCTCTGGCATTATATACTCAGTGCTATATCCTGAGCAGTGTGCTATTGCAGTGGCCACCAGGGATCATCAGAAAGTGGGCAGGGAATGAGAAGCTGTCCTACCAATTTACTTCTCTTTTTTTTTCCCAATTTTCTTTTGTTGCAGGAGGTACATATGACCAAATTGCCTTCTTTATCTAATGGTACTATGTGCCAGGCATTGGCTTTTATGCACAAGGTTCTCCCAAATTCAGGATACTAGCTATTAGATGGCCTCCATTACATTACCTAAATAAGCATTGATCAGTAATTGAGCAAGATCTTGAAGATACTGCAGTTTAGTTGCAGTTGGAAGTAAAATTTAGAAAGACTTGTTTTGTATACTTACAGGTAACATTATATATATGATTCTCTCCGATTTTGTCAGCAACCACAGAAAATTGAGTACACTGTCCATTTACCCTGTAAAACAGAATGAGCTGATGCCCAGGAGATATTGATGCGGCTGGCTCCCTCATGCTCCACCTGTAACTTGAGTTTCTGATTCCACTTAACTGTTGAACAATTTTTTGTGCAATTTTCAAAGAGCTTTTATTTCCATTATTTCACTTTATTTGAGACTTTAAGAATGAGTCAACTACTTCTATCCCTATTACTCTACCATTACGTCCCACTATTACTATTATTACAGCTGCTTGTCTTGATAACTAGCTGAGTGTTCGCCATGTGCCAGCCTTTCAGATAAGTGCTTTATAAACATTACGTCACTTGGTCCTCACAGAAAACCATGAGAGAGAATTATTATAATCCTCTTTTACCCAAGGGAAAGTTGGGGGTAGAAAGAGATGAATTTTCTTGGTCACACAACTAGTAAGAGATAGATTCAAGAGCTAGATAGGCTGTTGATTACACATCCTATGCTCTTAACCTATGCTATTTGGCCACACTGTTGATGATTCTGATACCCCTCTACCCCTTACCTCCTCTACTCCCATTTAAATTTATTCATGTCACCAACTCTTATCTCTGATTCTAGAAAAGCCCCAGGTTCATCAAGCCCTAGATCAGTGCCAGATGAGGGACTCTGATTTTGGATACAGGCCCAGAATGTATGTGTACACATGCATGCATGTATGTGCGTGTGTGTGTGTGTAGAGGTCCAAGACCATACTCAGGCTTCTCTTTTTCCTTTCCCAAGTAAAAAAAGCCACACTTACTTTGTATGATATTTGAAGTACAGAGAAGAGTTGTCCAAGACATGGATGTATTCCACAAAAACCCTCATGCTACCATTTTCTTCTATCTTTTCCTTGATGTCTGAAGCCAAGAGAATGCTATACCACTCTCCCGAAATCTGCAATAAATCAGTAAAATGATTGGGTAAGAAAAGAGGAGAGGGGGATACCATGTGAACACTTGTCTTCTTGAACTCTGGCCTGTGGGCCAGGACTCATAACGGTGATGTGAAGATGGAATTAGAACTTAGGTCAATTGACCCCACATCTAGGGCTCTTTCCACTGCCCCTCCAGTGAGAATGGAGGTCCCCAAGTGTTGTCATTGTTTAACATGGTACCATTGCTCTTCGTTCAAGGTCTGAAACCACTCCATTTATCTAATATGTCAAGGAACTCCTGCCCTCCAGTAGGGCCACCTTGCTTCCGAATCTTCCAAACCACCCCCAAAGTCAGAAGTCAGTATGCTCTTCTGACTCTACCTCTGAAATATCGAAGTTGTTTGTCACAACATCGCTGTTTTCCTCCTCTTGGGCACAGACAAGAATCAGCCCCAGACACAGCAACAGCAGCTTCATCTTGGCAGGGGACAGCACTGACTCCTCTATAGTCACTGGGAGTGAGTCTTGCCCTGATGGTGGCTCCACTCCCCAGCTCCTTTCTCTTTATATCCATTCTGGGTTCAGTTTTTTGTCTCTGGGGCACCACTGTTCCTCCTCCCACTCCGTGAAATGGTCTGTCATTCCCTGGTGTGAGGCCAAGGATTGTTCCTGTCCTTTTGAAACTTGGCAGCCTCATATCTTTTAGATTTACTTAGTGACTTTAAATTTCTCAAAACACATACTCAAGAAAAATAGTGGCTGCTGTAAAGGGCTGCCTTTTGGAACCAGATTTAACTGTGGATCTGGCTTGGAATCAAAAAGCCAATTATGTGTAGCAGGAATAGTGTATAAGTGGGAAATGGAGTGTGTGGGGAATCTATGTTCCACCACTCACATGGGTGCAGAATTAGGTAAGTTATGCCACTTTTACTAACCTCAGAAACAAAGAAACTGTCTCTACCAAAGACAATAGTACCTGTCACAAGCATTAAAATAGAATTGATGAAAATAGCATTGAATAAAATAATGTCTTTAAAGTATGGTGTCTGATATTCAGTATATTTTCATTCCTTTTCCTTATTCTCTGAACTCAACCACTGCAGCCTTTCCTTCCCCCACAATGAATGAACAAGTGTTTAATCACTATGTATACCTTGCTATACCATTGGCCCCGTAAGAGAAATGGGCCATCCCTTCCTTCAAGCAACTTTCAGCGACGGTGGAGAAATGCTTCATATACTCAGTGAAAACTTAATTCTGTAAGCATATGACGTAACCCAACTGAGTGGGACCAGTCCAGACCACTGTAGGTCAGAAAAGGGGGTGATGCTAGGGAGGTGGCATCATGTAGAAAGTGCTTAAGAACACAGGCTTTGGAGTCATATAGACCTGGGCTTCATTCCTATCGCCACCATTTTGAAGCCATAAGGACGGATTTCACCTCGCTGAGCCTTTGTTTCCACTTAATGGGGATAATTATAGCTGTCTATAGATTGCTGTAGGGATTCAACAGGATGATGTGTGTAGAACCCTCAGCATGATGTCTGACACACATTGGGCTGGCGGCATCAGAGAATTATTCCCGGAGAAGGTGGGAGTTGGGGAAGGTCTTGAAAGTTAGGGAGGGTATGGAGATATGGAGAGCATGTGGGAAGAGGATTCCAGGTGAGAGGACTGTTGTGAGTTAGGCTCCTATGCTTCCAGCTGGGGCTGGTTGAAAGCTATGGCTTATTTCTGCCTTATGCTAATGGTCCCCTCCTGCAGCCCCCAAAACAGGAAGAGGGTAGTTGTCTTGGGAGGAGCTGTGCACAAGGCAGTGAACATGGGAACTGTGGCATTCTCTCTGTGGCTTGCTCTAAAAAGTCATCCCAACCCCTGGGTGATCATTCCTAGTTCATATTCAACCGATATCCAGTCACTGGTATTTCGAGGCCTTTAGCCATCGTGGGCTGGCTGTAGGTTTTCCTGCCCCTGAGATGGAGGAATTGAGCTTGATAAATGGTGGCAAAGGCTGTGTACTTTATTCCCTTCGTTTGATTCTCTCCAAGAATAGATGGCAGCCTATGAGCAACCAGGTTTGCAAAATGAATCCCACTCTTCCTGGGCTATGATGCTTAGAGGAGAGTCAGCTACCACTGCTGCACAGACCATCTCTAATCCATCGTTCCATGTCTAACTCTGCACTTTTATATCATAGCGCCATATTGCAACTTTCTGCTTCTGGTGGAGCTGTCTTTCTTGTTCACCCTTGTACCTACCATAGCACTTGATACATGGTATCATCTTTGGAATGACTGTACACTAAATCCTATCCTAAAAGTACTAGGGATTCTTGTTATTAGAAGGAACCTCATAGAAAATCCTGTTGTAAATAGAAATATTACTTTTGGGTAGTGACCTCCTAATATATATTATTGGGTCACAGGGGTAGAAAAGAGAGCATAGAACCGAAGTCTATGATCAGAAGCCTACGTTGTGGATGATCTTATCTACTAAGATCTGAGTTGACCATTCCCCACTCTGATTATTCACTTCCATTTCAAATGTACCACATTGTCAGTGGTCAGCGTGAACACTGACAGGACAGCCTGTAAACACCGAGACAGGAAGGTCAAGGCTGTAAAAATACCCAAGAAGTGTGATGAAACCCAGCTAGGGACTCGATGAAAGAAAACCCAGACAAAATCAAAGCTGAACTAATATTAAATCAATCAGGAGTGATGCTTGGCTTTACGATAGGATTCCCTTAAATAATACTCTGGCACTGCATTTAAATATTTGTGGTAGGAGCTGTGGCTTAATGATCTGAAAACACTCTCACAACTTGTAGATGATCAATAAATATCACAGGTGACTGAATTATCAGCTTTTTCTTTTTTCTTTTTTGTTTTTTGTGAGGAGATCAGCCCTATGCTAACATCTGCCAATCCTCCTCTTTTTTTTTTTGCTGAAGAAGACTGGCCCTGGGCTAACATCCGTGCCCATCTTCCTCCACTTTATATGGGACGCCGCCACAGCATGGCCTGCCAAGCAGTGCATCGATGTGTGCACAGGATCTGAACCGGCGAACCCCGGGCTACCGCAGAGGAGCACACGCACTTAACCGCTTGCGCCACCGGGCCGGCCCCTGAATTACCAGCTTTTATATTGGGGAGGATGGGAAGAGGTAGAGATGGGGAAAGATGACACAAAAATAAAATAAAATAAAGAGTAATCACTGGTCTTAGCATCTCCTAGATGTAGGTGTTAAGTACATGGAGTAAGGATTCAAGGTACGAAGCTCATTTGGCCGCCCATCAATGGGGAAAATGTCTGTTGTATAATGCAAGATATACAAGGTACAGCATTTGACTGTGGAGTAATTTTGTCTGTGGTGTAGTATGTTGCTCTAGGAGATGATGCTACTACAGGAGTTTTGAAAAATAATGATTCAACCTAATTCAACTACCATTATTAAATGCCTACTCTACACTAGGCCTGTACCAGGTACTTTGAGAGCTAAAGAAATAAGAAAGATAGGGGCTGTGTCCTCAAGAAACTCCTGGCCAGTGTGAGGATGATTTGAAAACAATCTAATTATAAGGTAGAAGGTAAAAAAAAAATAATATATATATATATATATATATATATAGGAAAACAGAGATGGCAACAATAATGAAGAAGAGGAATAAAAGGAGAAAAAAACAAAACGTGATTTGACTCAATTATAGACTGACCACCCAACTCCAGGTAAAGAGCCGGAACGATTTTTTCCCTCCAGATGAACAGAGCTCTACCTAAAGAACATAAGCTTTAATAGACTCTGGTCCTCTTCTGGTCCAGTGGAGAGGGAAAGAGAGGGGCTCTGGGAAGGAAAGGTTTTGTGGAGAAAGGGGTGAGAGTTGAGTTGTTCTTCCAGCCTAGGGGCCCCAAGAAAATGGCCTCCTTCCTTTGTGTAAGGGGACAAGCAGCACTCCTGATGAGCCAGTCTTAGTCAGCACAACAGTAGCATTTGGACCAAGTGTACATCCAGTCCTCTGTTGCCACCCTGAAGAAGTAGCGTTTGGATCTTCTCTTTTATGGGAGCAAGTGAGTTTGGCCCTGATTCTTGTTAAGAGTAGCCAGTCATTCCAGGGCTGAGCTGTTCAGGCCCCAAATATCTACCAAACTTTTTAGAACAGAGAGCTAATATTCAATCATCTTCCCCCATTTGAAACATAGCATTGACACCTGAATCCAAACTGCTATATTACAGCCAAGTTGCATCAGCTACTTTTGTATATAAGGCCCTCAAGACTTCAACAAACTTAGAAACAATCTGGTAATGAAAGAAAGAAGGTCTTATTCAAAGTCGTGTTTGTTCAAGCAACGGATTGTGCCAGAATCCACTTACCAAGGCAAATAGTTATAATGAAGATGTATTTTGCAACAGTACAAATGTCATCCGTCCAGGGGCCAGATAGGTAAATATAATATTTTGATGTCAGAAACAGAGTCAGAACTCAGTGGGTATTAGACAAGTGCTTTACAAACATTATTTCATTTAATCCATTATCCTATTTTACAGAGGTATGGATTCAGACTCAGAGAAGTTAAATAAACTTACCAAGGTAACACAGCCAGTAAGTGGGAGAAACCATATTTGAACCCAAGACTGTCTAATCCCAGAGCCCTTACTCTTATTGACTCCTCTACACAGGTCGAGACTTGATGTTTGTGACATGAAGCACAGATGGAACAGGAGTAAGTAATGCTTTAGACCCTCAGAGTGGTCTGCCTGGTAGTTGCTACTGAAGGAGCTGCATGCAGATTTCCCCAAAATGTGGCACTGTGGGTGTAGCTGCAAGAGTCCATCAAGTGAAGGGCAAGTAATAACTCTCTCTTGGTCAACAAATATTTGATGGATGGATGACCTGGGGAGTATTTCTCTTCTAATAAGGAATTACGAGGTGCTTCAATACCAAAAAGCAAAAACTATTCCCTTCCATTCATGACTTCAAGTTAAGTACCTGGTGAACAACCATATCAAGACTTCCGCACCCAACACCAAATATAGGGCATTTTGTAAGTGACCCAAGGGAAGGGTGACAGTCTGCAGGTAGTTGAGAAAGTCCTGGCCTAAATCATGACTCATGTATGGGGAAGGGGCTTATGCAGTTCATATATGACCAGGCAACAGTCCATTTATGACCAGGCAACTTGATTGAAACTCACTGGCTGACTGGAAACAGACTTAGTGACCTTGTGTTCAGTCACACTTGATTAACTGAAAAAATCACTCACTGAGAAAGCCAGTGGGAACATTCAAGCCACGTAACATAATATCAAGGCATAGACAGTGCTAAGAAGAAGAGCAAGAAATACAAGTTTGTTTGATTCATGTGCCAGAGTGGAAGTACACCTTGGTTCCCAGCATCCAGGATGAGTATGCATTTTGCTGGTACTGGCTCAAATCCAGTTCTAAAATACCAACTCCCTTCACCGATGAAAGCTTGCTTGGAGCTAATGACATCCTATCTGCATCAGCTGGGTCCTCCGGAAAGCAGATGCCAAGACAGATTTAGGAGTGTAAAAGGTTTACACTTGAGAGTGTAAAA